AAATATTAAATAATTATAATTATGGAGATCGTTTTCACTGGATTATTTAACATGTTTGTTGAAAGAAACATGTTCGTCAGAAAACAAGGAATTTCGAAGAAAATATGATAATCAACATTTCCAGCGACTTGTCGTAATTAAATTTGCGAACAAAGAATCTGGCTGGTCTGTTGTATGCAGAAAAACGAAAGGAGATAACGAGCGGAGACAAGGGAAGAAAAGACAACCATCCGAAGAATTTTTATCCGGTGATAATCACGGGGGCAGATATTCGCGAGTAAAATTAAAAGTTGAAGTGGGTGGCAACAAAGAGCATCGGAAGAAACGTCCTGACGACTTCCGGCGTGGAATTATCCGAACTTTTTTGTAACGAGCGACACTCTCGCCAGGAGGAAAGGGAATTGTGTAAAAGTTACATTGTCACACAAATTCTGTGAAAAATACCTTCCTACGTAAGAAGTAGAAAGTTCTACGTTATTTTTCAACTAGGTGACACGAGAACAGAGATTTATAAATTTGAAGTTATTAGCCATCATGTTTTACATTCATAAAGTTAGAAATTAATGATATAATATGAAATACAAAATTAAATTAAAATTGAGGCTCATTCTATGATTCATTACTCGAGGGTTAAGGGTGGAGAATTTTACTTCAAAAGAAATTTATATTTGAAAAATTGAATTGTTATTGAACTCTATTGATATTATTTACATTGAATAATATTTACTAATTGAAATTCTCTATCTTTAAAATTTATGTTATTTAAAAATGGTGAAAAACAATGATTTTTGTTGACGTTACGTTTTAAGAATTGATTGAAGTGTTTCGTAATTGTAAGAGAATTCATCAAAAGAGCAATTGTCGATCGCAATTTGCTCTATTACTTTATAAACGAGAATGATGCATTCTATTCTTCGAAAAAGCGAACGATATTTTACAATCACATTTGCTGTTACAATTGTAAAACGTTTTGAATGCTAACCGGGCATACAAATGGCACACAAAATGATGCTTTTGCAATGAAATATGCTTTGCTGGATTCAATTTCAACGTTGTTTGTCTTAAAACGGAAACTACTTTTAGAAAATCGCATTTACTGGGAAATTAATAGAAAACGGTTCAATCATTTTCATTGAAATCTTCTTCGTGATCGGATGAAATTAAATCATAAAATATTTAATGAAACTCTTATTGTTTTCAGGAAATTGTTTATAACTTTGAAATTGAAAATGCGATTAAATGAATATTATATAATTTTCATTTTAAGATATAAATTGATTCTATAATAATGGGATGCTGTTGTCTTATTCGTAGAAAGTATTAAACAAAAAGGAACGAATTATTTTTAAATGGTGTCAAAATATATTTGAAAATACTGTGACATTAAAGCGATTATAAAAATCAATCATTTATAAAATAAATTGCAAACTGTGTGTGCTTTTCAACAAGCTTAACGTTTAGATTTATAAGATAACAATTACGAAAACAGAATGTGATGGAACGAAATAAAATATGAAACGAATTCAAACAATGGAGTGTAATTAATGTGAAATCCTTCCCTTTGACATTATTTAACAATTAAAAGACTCCCTTTTATCGAATGATTCAAGAATTTCATGCTTCGACAGTCGTTTGGCATCAACGGCAATTAAACAACAATAAATTCTGTATTACAGATCGTTTAACTCAATTTCTTACTTTATTGTGCGAAGATCAAAGTTTGTTTCTGAATGAAGTGAAGGAAAATTATAACGTAATCATTTTACAGTTAAAAAAAAAGAATCTTATGTAGCAGATTTTCAATGTAACCCAACAAAGAATTAATCATGTAGTTCTTATTTTTCAAACAATTTAATAGAACTTGTAGAATTAGTAACAGAAAGAATATTTTCATTCCACAAGTGAAACTTATCATCAACATCAATCTTGAATCTCGTAAAAATCACGAAGTGAACCCTTCCAGCGGTCATAATGCACACGAACGCGTTGAATTTCAACGTGAGAGAGGGATCAGACGCGGCTGAACAATAAAAGCGTTCTAACGAGGAGCGTTTCTCCGCTCTGCTAATCACGGGGCTCGTAAAACCCGCGACGAAAATACTCTACACTGTTTCCTCTGTTGTTAAATGCATCCTGCATTGTCCTCGCTAAGGGATTACGTTAAATCTACACGTTTTCACAATTAGAAATGAAACGTTGGCTCATTGAAAAAAGATATCTATTAAATAATCTATCAATTATATTTGTAGTATTTATTCCATTATAAAGAAATTTATACCATTGTTGGAATGCAAGAAGTGGCAAACATAATAAATTAATAAAATAATAAATCAAATTTATAATTTTGAGGAAAGATCAAAGTATGTTTATAAAATTTTTTAAATAGTTTGAAGTTATTTTTGTAAACTCGAACTTGAAAGCTCGAAATTTGTAATCTAAAAAATAATTATTCTTGTCCCTAATAATTAATATCAATTTTCATTGTGGCAGTTAACGAGAAATTGATTACATTTACACTAACTAAAAATCTTTCATTTCACAATAATTGCCATTGATTACATATTTATATAAAAATGGTGGAAAAGCAACAAAATAAATACTACAATAGCATTAGCTTTTGACTGAAACTGTACCTGAGGCGTAATAACGAACAGGTGAAGAAAATGAAAAGGAAACACTCCTACCTCAGTCGTCCTAGCTCTGTACAGGATAATCTCGTCATCTCGTGCATCGTACACAGCACAGAATCCTTAGAACCCTTCATCGACATCACGAGTCTTTCTTCCCATCACTACAGCACCGTGTATCACATGTCACACGAGCACACCGCGATCAAACATCCGTCGTAAACGTGCACCACCATCAAGCAACGTGTAGTCCAAGGATCGCGAGCTCATCGAAGATCCTTTTTCTCAAGGACACAACCCGAAGACAAGCTGTTTTTGGCCGGCTTCCAAGGATTCGTGAACCGATACCCGCACAAGCCACCGCCACAAGTGGTTGCGTCCTAGTCAGACACCTTGCTACGTCTTCCTACACGTTGACAACGACGAGTCATCCAGGATGTCCATCCTCGAAAGATCACTCGATGGATCTTCCAGATAACGTATCTTCGATCATCGATCGAAGGGCAACACCCATCATTCTGATAGAAAATCTAAGCTGTCATTCGGAGGCAGCAACAGCTGGATCCTTCGACAGGACGATTTTACTTGGATCGATGTACTGCTCACTTGAAAAGTGACTCCTTAACAATAATAACACCAGGAATTTTTCATCAGATAAATATAAGGAACAATCATCAACACAGGACACTTTCAGATTGAAACACACTGTTTGGATAGTTGACGAGTCCTGATTGATCCTGCTGATTTTGTCCTTTATTCTATTTTTCCTAGGTTCTGACAGGATGTTGATCCTGTTGGAATGCACAGGTTCGATCTTCGATCAGGACAGCTCGATCACGATCACCGGGGATTGTAGAGTTCCATGGGGGATTGTTGCTTGTCTGCTTGATTGCGACAGGATACAGGTGTAGCTGGATTCTTCCAGGACACTAGGATACTGAAGAAAAACGCGTCGGGACGCGAGAGGAACACGCACACGCTCGGCAAGCAGCTCCTCGGGGCTGGTTTCCTATTCAGCTGGCTATTGACTGTCATGCACCCCAGTGTTACTCCGTTGGAACTACAGCCACTGGCACCACGCCTGCGTCCACGGGGACGCCGTGAGGCGTCGTGACGCCGGCTGATTGCTGCGAACGCGTTGCCAAGGCGCATGCCGCGCCGTTTTCACCGGTTTGGTTCGATTTCAGCGTGGCGCCACTGAGCGGGAACTTTGATTGTCACTCACGTGGTGGAGAACGTTTAATGAACTTAGGGATAATTAGTTTGTCAATTTAATGACGAGGGTAATTCTAAAGTGTACGATGAAGGAGGTGTTGTGGAACTGAGGAAGAAATATAATAAGCGAGATTATAAGAATTTTATGGCACACATATTGAAAAAATCTTAAAGTAACATTCTGATTTTCATAACTAAGATAGTTTTAACAAGAAATTATATGAAATTCAAGAAAAAAAAAAAAAAATACGAGATGAGAGTTGATAATTTAATGAACTTTGTAATAATTATTTTTTGGTTTTGGTGATCAATGTAATTTTAAGAAATGTAGTATAATTTAAGAAGAAATATGCTGTGTATATTTTTCAAATGTATATGTTGTTGAGAGTTCCATTATATCAACTATGTTGAAGAAAATAGTGTTAGCAGTAGTAGTGAAATGATAGTGATAAGTACACGAGATTACGTAGCAATAAAGTAGAATCGAAGAAGTGATATAATTAGATTTGAACATGATCAAGAAAATCCAAGGTCACGTTTATTGAGTTCATTTGTTGCTAATACCTTTGCGAATCTTGTAATCAACCTTGTACCTTTATTGGATAAAGCAGACTATAATTAATCTACGAAATAAAAGTAGATTCGAAAGAAAAATTAAAAATTTTCTTGGAATTGCCAGATAATTGACGTAAAACGTACAAAATGTTATTTGTGAGAAACGAAATAAATAAAAAAACTGAATAATTTCATAGAATATATCTTAATTAATTTTCAACCTTAAAATTAAGATATCAATAGTTTAATGAATCTTTTGAAAGATTATTAATTGAAATGATTTAAAAAATATATATGTGAAACTATAATCAATTCATTGTAGTAATGAACAATAATTAGTTAGGCAATTTTTTTGTATTCAAATATGAATGAAGAAATAGTATAGTTCAAAGTAGTCAGTGAAACAGATCAACGATGGCGCTTCCATCACGTTCGATTAAATACAGTTCATACTACTTAAAATTCACCTCCCATTGTAGCGGGAGCTCGAAAATGGAAATTTGTATGACACAAATATATGCAGATATAATTCACACTTAATTTATATAAGTAGAATTTATATCTTTCAAAATGTCAATTATAGTGATGAAATTTTTAACTCACCAGTTTGAGTACTGCTATCGAAAAAGGTGCTTGATGTCTCAACAGTCATCGTGGCAAATGTTCCATCAGTGATTTGTGCAGAACTGTCCCTTCGTCCTCGGTATCTTTGAACCTGGACCATACAAATATGAATTGAAAATAATAATTTAATTCAATAAATCCTTTGAAATCCTTGCTTCACAATTTTTTAATTCCATCATGGAAGAAAAGCAATTAAATTTGGATATTTTATTATATAAATTGTAATATTAGTAAAAATTAAAATTATTCACACACTTTTTTATTTTTGAATAGTAATTTGATTAATGATGAAAATTATAAGGCAAGGATTTTAATAGTAGAAGGTTAATCTATTTTGAAGTTCATGAAGAGCTGACCGTCTCATCGCTTTGAGAGCTTTGTCTTCGAAAATTTCGACATCTTATCATTTCTTCAGCAGTACTTTGTCGTCGAAAACCACGAGCTATGAAAATCTCATCTGTAGTTGACTGTCTTCTTATCGCAGGAGCATGTGCACAAGGAGAGGGACTTGGGTCTCTCGATGAACAGGAAGAACTATCTGGTGATCTGAAATACATAATGCATTTATCAATTAAAGTTATGTATTTGATCGAATTAAAATTAGATCACTTCTATTTTTAAAATAATCTAACAAAAACTCTCTTTCATTTATTACAATTTCTACATTACCATTGAAAATTTTAGATTCAATAAATTTTCTTTTAAATTTCTTTTATTCTTGAATTATATTATTTTTCAAAATGTCTTGTTTCGAAGGGAACAACATTATCCACACAACCAAATCAATAAAATACAGCTACCTAGGTGGCGACCGACCAGCCATTGATGTTGACTGCCTTCTCAGCTGGGATTTCCTTTGCCTGATAGGACTGATATCCCTTTTATCGACTGTCCTGTCAGGACTCAGATGGCTCCTGGAATCTCGACGTTTTGGGTAGGAGGCAGAATCAGGACTCAATGAGTCTCTGCGAGCTTTGCGTCCTTGAAACATTCAAAAAGATAATTTTTTACTAATTTTCTACAACATTTATTTTACAACATAGAGGAAAGAGATATGGAAATGATAGATAAATAGATAGATAGGAAGAGGAAAGACAGTAAATTACAATGAAGATAGACATTTTTTTTTTAAATCTACAATTGAAAGTATATTCATAGTTACAATTGTGATTTATTCAATGCGTGAAACTTAGTTAATGGTGGTTCAAGTTTGTGATTGTACCTCCTTCATCAGGATCTGGTGATAATGTCGGCTGACTTCCTCGTCGTCCTGCTGGTGGCATCGATTCGTCTATGGCAGCTGCTTGTCGTGTTAATCTTGATAATTTGTTAGGGGATACCTCCTTTCCCTTGTAATAACACTGCAACAAAATTGTTTGAATAATCAAAGACATATTTAGGTATTTATATACATATTTAGATTCATCTACAACTCCTTTTCAACCTCTTTTAGTATTATTTAATATAAAATTAAATACAAATTAAATATTAAAAAAGTAATTACTAATAAATTTATATGATACAAGCGGAGGGGATACAATTTATAAAAGAAGATGGCTTTATATGTTTATATTTGAAAGTCGTCTGACCATACACTGACTGTTACTACTTGAGCTTTACTACTTATTGAATCTAATCTTCCATGGTGTAATAAACACTATTGCTTTCTTTCCCACCTAAATTAAATATTTTTTTATGCTTAAGAAAATTAAATCAGTCAATACATTTTCTAAAAATTTCAAATACAATCCCAATAATTAATTAAAACTTCCCCACATCTCACCTGAGTAGTGGAGTCTCTCCTAGTTGTAAGCAGAGGATGAGTCGGTGTGCTCACGTTTGGCGAGCCGACAGGACTCGAACTACCGGAGGTGGAGGTTCCAGGAAGTGGAAGATTGGTACCAGTTGTTGGTGAGACAGACGGCGGTGTCACCGAGGACATCACAATGGTAGGGGGAGTGATAGATGTCTCTAAAGTTAAGTTCTTATTCTCAGAAGTGGTTTTCATGTCCACAGTCAATGTGGTAGACGTTGACACGGTAGTGGTAGTTGTGGTTGTCGCTGTTTTGGAATCAGTGGTGGTTGTGATGAGTATCTTTCCATCGATCTGAGGAGTTGTTGACGTGGTGGTCGTCGTGGTCGGTGTAACAGTTTTCGTCTCCACCGTTGGTTGCATTTTAGCTTCGATGCTACTCGATCGATCACTTTTATCCATCGAATTACGAGTTTCAATATGATCCCTAAAATAAAGAAAATATTTCTTTGTTAACAAATTTATAAAAATAATCTTATTTTCCTTCGTGAACCATTGTTTGCCTTCCTTCGGTAGAATTTTGTTCATTTAAATTAGAAACAAATGATATATTATTTTATTGGTTTAAACAGATCAAACAAATCCAAAATCATTAATAATGTACAAAAAAATATAACGTCCTAATAAAAAAAATAAAAATAGAAAATAAGATAATAAAAATTTCAATGTAACGAAGAGAAGTAAGGGAAGTTGAAAGTTTTGAAATATTTAAATATAAAATTAATATTCAGTGCTCTTAGGTAATATTCATGGAGCACTGGAATACATCCAGTAGTACTACCAGTAGTACGAAATGAAATTGATCATTCTCTGCATGTGCATCCCAACTATAATAGAATCTCACCTTAAATTAACAAGTTTAAATGCAGCAATTAATCATGAACACAGAGCTGTTACAAAGGGAATTAGAGAGGCAAATTCAGTCGTCAGTATATTATCCCATACCTAACAGCATTGCTGGCTGTGCTATCAGTGCTGGAGGCGCTGGGTCTTTGATCATTCCTATAATACTTTGCTGCCATCACACCGCTACCACTGTCAACAGATTGTTGGGACTGTCTGCGTCTATGATGGCGACAATTATGTTTCCGTTCACCAGGGCTGGGTGTTTGTCCAGCAACCACGGAATCCCTTCTGGATCTGGCACTCTCTCCGGAACCTCGTCGAGAATTCCTCGATTCCCCTGAATCTATAAAATAAAATTATTAATAACGGTCTTCATAAAGGAAAAAGTAATATATTTACTGGTGTATTTAGAAAGTTTTTACTTTTACCACTTCTTAACAGTGAGGCAAGGGGTAGTTTGAAATTTAGTTTGAAAATAATGAAAACTGGTGTACTTTGTAATTGAGTTCAAACAGTGAAGAAAAGGAAAGTAGGTGAAGTAAAATGAAGTAATTATTAGAAATTTAAATACTTTCTAAAGATCGACGACTAGTAGAACGTTATATCATTGAATTTGTACAGAGTTCACTAATTAATTGACTAACAATAAGCTAATATTTTTTAAGAAATTTTGAATGATATTGATATTCAGGAATTAATATGTAATATATTACATATAAACTGACAAATAGGTCCAAAACACTGCCACGTACAATCCCTACAAATTATTATAGGGGTCGGAAAGTTCTTCTGCTCAAGCAACTTTCATCACAAATCATGTCGAAAACACGCTTTTACTGTCTTGCCACGTGCTTCAACTTTATTAGGATATTTATCATAGATATAGACCGAATCTTACTCTTTTCTTTTAATGTGCACACCGTCATTTTATAGAATGTTTTAATTAAATACAATTAAAAAAAAACACAATTTGATAAAAATAATTAGATCAAAAATTAAAAAGAAAATTGAAAAAGAATATTTAAGCAATATACCTCGACGAGGTGTAGGTGAAATGACGGTAGGTGGTGGTTGAGTTTGAGGGGTGGCATCTTTCTTGCCCCACAATTTAGCGATGTCATTCTTGAAATCACTAATGGCCGAGTCTCTCCTGGATTTCGTGGACGCCTGACTTCTGATCCCGCTGTCTACGGAACTTTCCCGCCTTTTACGAAGTCTTTCCAAATGACTGGCATCCGTGGTCGTCTGCCTGGACCATGGCAACGATTTCGCGATGTCCGCTAACGTTTCACGTCGACACAATTTGTTCCCACGGCTGCTCTTCCCCGAAGTACCACCGCCGCCCCATTCCCTTAATATATCCGTCAGCTGAGCTAGACTGGACCGTCGACGACGTTGATTTGTCGGCGACGATTCTTGGGGCTCGTTAGGCGGCGAAGTGGGCGTGATTTGTGTTGCTGAGTCACGTCTTCCTGTTCCTGGGAAAAAAAAGTGTTTTTACAATGAAAATTAAAATGAAGAATGAAGACTGGATGAGACCATACCAGTTTGGTTTTACAGGTAGGATAGTTAGGATTGAAAATAATAATTTAAATATTTTAAAATAAATGTTGAATAAATATTTTATAATTAAATAAAAATTGTTTGATTAAATTAACAACCTCCTATTTGTAGATATAATGAATTATTTGCACTAATTTTCCAAAAGATCTAATAATCAGATTACTAGTATACTCGCCTAGACGTTGCCTGAGAGTTGACTCCTCCACCTGTTCCCTGACAAGATCGTCCCAGCCATTGCCTCCTTGCCATACCAGGCCGACCTGATGGCTCAGGATCGGCAGGTTGCACACGAAGCAGATCGCTGTCATGGTCCTGAAATTGAAACGCTCGGTCTCGGCTTGAGCAGGCAAAGACGAGCCGCCGATCTGTCATCGGCTAATTGATAAACAGACTGTGTGACTCAAGGTAAATAACGGGTGCAAGGTGTGAACGATTAAGTTAGGTGAATTCGAGGCCATGCCAACAGAACACTCCAAAAGTCAAACACACACTCGATCGAAGTCGTGGTTTCTTGGCTACCTTCTACGTTGAATTTCTACAATAATTTTTTTTTTTCATGCTTGGCCAGTTGCAAATTGTACCTTATGTGAAAAAAGAAATAACTTACGATGTTCGGAAGCTTCATTTAGTTCACTTTCTAGCTAACTACTGCGCTTAAGTTGCTACTTTTAGGTTGCACGGGAAGCTGATGTTTGTTCGAATGATTTTATAGAATAGTTAAATAGTTAAATATTTTTTATAGAATTACATAGTGTGCTAGTTCAACCTTTCTGAGAGAGATGATCTTTAAAACCATTGATTATTCTAAAAAATAAATGAAAAAAATTAACAATCATAAGAGATAAATGAATTAGCAAATTTAGTAACAAAACACTTAATTTTTAACCACTTTAACAGGAAAAATTCTGTAAAAAGAATTTATTTCCTTCATTTAGATTTTGTTAAATATTCAGTTTCTAAAACAAAGCTGAACAATTTTCCAAATATTTAGTTACTGAATTGATGTTCTGATAAAATGGAAACGGAACACCCTATATATACACATCTCCTCGAATACTTTACTTCAGTTCGATCGCGAAAGGATGCATCGGATTTTCATCAACTTCCCGCGCAATCGACACTACCGATCGACAGCGTGTACTTCTACGAATCGCGTCACAAGTTAGGACAAGTGGTAAGCGGAAGCGGATACCAGACGTAGTAGGAGCGTGTAAATTCGCAAGCTCCTGATGCCGCGTTCTCGAAACCACGCTTCTCTACGCCCACCCACACACCCACATGGTGCGTGGGTGTGACGAGAAACGATAGTAAACGATCGGTAAATGGAGCAACGTTCCGCACAATGTATATCTGTGATATACTAGAGGCACAGCGACACAAGTCTGGCTACAGAGAATTCGCGAAATCAGAGTTACAGAAGCGTGGATGCAGCGAGATATCACGTTCTACGATATACAGAGTGGTAGATGAAATTCATACAAATCGTACCTCTTTTCCGATTGCAATTATAAGAAAGGAAATGAGTAGTTCAAAGCAGCGCCACTGCAAGATACACGTGCTTCGTTGCATTAAAAAAAAAAAAATGTAGTTTGCTTTGAACCACTCGTCTCTTTCATCTGTTTCTTTTTAATTGCAAGTAGAAAAGTGGTATGATTTATTGACGTTTTGTAAACCACCCTGTATATACAGGAATATTCCTGTATTAAAACGATGTACACAGGGTGTGATAAAATTATTATGTTAGGAATAGGGTGATTCCTTGTGGAGAAGCAGGTTGGAAATGTGGAAGATATTTTCAGAGATTATTTTTAAACAGGAAATTATTAATTATATATGTAATTAGATGTGACCCAAACCAAACTACAATAATTCTTTTCAGAGAAAAGGAAAAAAGTAAAGAAAGAAAGAAAGAAAACAAAATTTCCTACATTTTCAACCTACTTTCATGCAAGTAATTACCCTATTTCTGTTCATACCACATCCTGTACAGAATTATTAAAATACTAAAAGAAGAAAAACTATAGATAGAATGGAAAAGCAAGAAAGAGATTAAAGAGAAATAGAAGTATAGTGTCGCGTGCCTGTCCTCATAGTATTCAACGCATAATAAAAAACTCTCAAAAACTGTTCTCAGAATAAGGCAAATAGAATCTGATCTGTTTTAGTCGACCTGTAATGTCGAAGTCTGGGGTTCTGCAACGACATCGCATGGCAAGGGCCTGGCCGACCTGCAAAAGATACACACACACACAATGTTTTCTTCCATCACGGCACCCCGAAACCTAAATTGAGGGTAGTGTACTCGAAATGGAGAGAATTTTCGATGATGTAGCAGCCTGAAAATCGCCATCAGTCGCAGCAGTTGATTCGGTCGCAAAAGAAACAATTTTACTCCATTTTTCTAAAAAGCACCTCTTTCAGAGACTTTCTTCTATATTGTTTCTCTGTTCCACGCTTTCATTCTTTCTTTGTGCTTTAATTAACCTGACGAGCTGCCGTTTAACGAAGTTTAACGGCCCTCGAGCAAGAATGCTTCCATTTGAAAATGTTCAACCTCCGTTGGACGATTTAAAGACGAAAGCAGTTGGCACGAGTCGAGTGGAAACCGCAAGTGTTTGCGAAATTGAATGGAAACGATTAAAGGTCCATCTTTCAGACAGTTTTTTTTTTTTCGATGAACGTTTTGTTGATGAACTCGAAGAGAAGAGAGTGAATGAAGAATTCAAACAACGAAGGAGGCTCGATTCGAAGAGTTAGCTTAAAGGGAATCGTTCGTTTCCAGCTTTTTTTATGAGAGTTAAGTATCTTTTTTGTTTTTTCCTTTGGAAAAATATAACAAATTTATGTATGTAAGCAGATTGCAATTAAATGTTATTAATGAGCTGATAATGGCAAAATGAAGAATAATATTTTCCATATGTTATTTGTATGGATTTTGAATACATAATTTATTAATAATAAAATGAGAATTTTTATGACAGCAAATACTTTTATTTTGTATAAATTAAATATTTGAAATTTCCCTGAAGAGAGCAAGACGTATATTTTGTATTCCAAAATCAAGCATTAATTTCTAATAATTTCAAAAATTTTGTTAACTAGTAAGCAGTGCTTAAAAATATGAAAAATATTTAAATTTAATATTTATCAAATTAAAATTGAATTCGAGATGACCTTACAAGATCTATCAATCTAGACGTTAAACAATTTTTATTAAATGAATATTCTTTGCTCTTAATTGCAGATTTCATTAATGATATCCTGCACATTTCATTAATCATATTTATCTTTGGCCTAGAAATCACCTCGTTTTCAACTATATCATAAATTCTACCGAAATGGCAGACATAAAGCACGTGTATTTACTCTCAAAACACACTCGTGATATTCAATCATCAAACGCAAAACCATTTTATGAACATCAACATCTAATATCACATATCGACAATCTAAATACAAAATTCGAATAAACATAAAATACACCGGTTAACGTTATCGGTTCTCGTCCATTACAAACACACTCCAATCAGAACAAACGGTTTCAAACATCACGAGTTTCCCCATTTCCGTTCTACAATATCCATTATTTGTGCTTGCCTGAAACGGATATACCCGATCGTTTTTGAAAACTAGAACAACATTAACATTTGCTTTAATAATTTTGTTTAGCAATTAAATATTGACATAAATACATTAGGTTGCCAATATGAATTTTCATCATTGTTTTATAATAATTTCTAAAAAATTTAACAAATCTAATAAATACTGAGATATTCATTCTTTAGTGGCAATAATAATAAATAATAAAATCAAGGGTAATAAGTTAAGTACAAAATTAATTTCTTCGAAGTATCAGTCTTTGGTGGTAATAATAATGGCAAAACTGAAGATGTTATCTATCATTTTGAAGATATATTTCCAATAAACTAACCAAATTAATGACATAGAATTACTTTAACAAGGAACCACAAGGATTTAGCGATAATCGTTTCTCAGAATATAAAATCATCCCCTTGAATATAACCAGTTTCCATGTGGACCCTACTCTTCTGAGTCAGCCAATTTTAAATCCATTCGTATGTTAATTTGATCGGTCATTAACGAGGGTGGATACAGGAGAAGCTAACAGAAGATAATAATAATTGACGTAGTAGGGAGACAGGTGGTGCAGCTTTCGGAACTTTTAGACACCCTGGAATACATTTGGAAATTAAACGTCACTGGGAACTTTACGTTTAGAAAGTTTCATGATGCTTAACGATCAAACGAGCGAAGTTGTTTAAAGGGAATTTTGAACAGCTCTGAATCGAGTTTCGAAAAAATTATTTATCATGTATGAGCTTCAAGGGAAGGCTTGAAATAATTTTTTAAAGTGACTTCATTGATTACCCGAATTAAAAACAGGTTTACTCCACAAAATTTTAATTCATTGGAAGTTTAATCAAGTGAACAGGACCTGACTTTTTTTGGAAGAAATATAGAAATTCATACCTTATATTAAATTTACTACAAAATATAAATTAAGTATAAGAAGAAGAAGAAGCAAAATTAAAATTTGTCAAAGTATTCTTTTATAAATTGTATTACTTTACTTCCTTTAGTTCACTCATTTAAAGTTATATATTAAATTTGAAATTTTTTATTTATATTAATTTTTATACTATTTATAACACAAGTTTTATTTAAATAAATGAAACATAATTTTATATAAGTTGATTTAATAAATAAATTTCATTTCTAATGAATAAAGTTTGTACGCTTTGGTAAAAAAAGGATAAGAAAGTTTCTTTTGTAATGTTTGAAATTCTAACAATGAAAAATTGAAGTAAACTTTATGTAAATTTTTTTTTCATTTCTCTTTGTCTACTTCAATATCCAAGCAGTGAACCTTAAAGTATTGGAGCAGTGAAAAAAAGTCTTAATGCAACGGGTTAAACTAACGAAGTAAATTCAAACTTCCTAGAGCCAATTCAACTCGGTTCAATGTTTTGTGCGTTCCATTGTCTCCGATGTACTTTGAAACTTCTCTTATTCATCGTTGTCGAGCCAAGAGCTGTCTTTTGTCTTGTCCCTGGTACTATTTTTAACCAGAACCCGAGACCTACTGATTTATGATACGTATAGAAGACTGAATCTTTCCTGAAACTTATTTCATCCTTGTGCATCGAGGATTTTTCTCCTATACATACGTCCGAGACTTCAGATCTTTCTTCATTTTGTAAAGAATTCAGATTCAACCCAGGAAATATTCATTTTTTAAAATTTCATAAAGTATAGTATATGTTAATGTTTCATTTTACATCAGTTCTATTCTGAAATTTATTACAAACAGAATCAATTGGAAAAATATATTAAAATAAATAATCATCAAAATTTAATTTTTATCTTCACTACCATAATTATGTGATTAGTTTCTCATTAAAGTGATTATTATAAGACGACCAACTTTATAATGTCAGTTTTATTATTATCTTTTCAAAAAATTGATTAATTTAATTTACTAAAAATTTAAAATTCAATTATTTGTTTATTTATTTATACTTGTTTCACTATATTACAGAAGACGTTTAATAAGAGAAAGTAAAAGTACTTAAAAACTGAAAAGAAAAACTCAAGAAAAAGTGCAAGCAATTTAGCGTCGCGGAGAATGTTTGCTATATTCGCATTGCATTTTCATAAATTCAGAAAGTTTTCCGACGGAAGGAACTACATGCTCGCAGAATTCGTATTCATTTGAAAGTTCCAACGACCTTGATGAGAAGCTTGGAAATGAATTTTTTAAGGTTATATAAATCACACCGTTTTTACCCCTTTTGGAAAATATTAAACGACACCCTCACATCATTGAGGGTTGTTATAAATGTACGAGAGAAAAACTAATTTTTAAATATTAGTAGTGGATTTATGCGAAGCAATTTATTTTCACACTATTGCATTTAATAACAGCGTTAATTGTGACCCAAATCTCCATAATCTGCAAAATTCATAACTTAAAAAGATATTCCAAAAACAAATTTAGAACAGTCTAAAATTTAAAAAAAAAAGAGGGAAAATTCATCATCTCGTTAAATGTAGAAAATTCCGAAAATGAAAATAAAGAGGAGTGTAAAATAAAATTTAAATTCTTGTTGCATTAGCGGTGTGCCAGTTAAGTAGTTCAAGCACGTATATGGTCAGACACCTTCTTTATCTTCCCATTTTCGCTAAATATATTAACTACCATTTGCTGATAAAATAAATTTAATATAATATGACTGATTGGGAGGTGAAAAATTTTGAATACAACAAATACCATATTAATTATGACATGTATAGGAAATTATACTTACGATACCACCTAAGTGTATTTGTTATTTCATATTATTAGTTCAGCCTTAATAGTACGCACAATTTTATTTTATTTTTCATTTTCAAAATTAAATTTAAATTACTGCTGCCTTGGCGGTCCGCTATCTGAGAGTTAAGTAGTTCAAGCGCGTGTATAGTCAGACATCCACTTTATCTTTGCATTTCTGCTTAACAATACCTGGGGATCCATTCTGTATATCAGGGTCATTAAAATCGTTTAAGTAGACCACGTTTCACGTAATTACTGCTGTTTCTATTGTTTCATTCGTTTCGTATAAACTGCAAATGTTTTCTGTTCGACGTGGAATTGTCACGAGTCGTAATAATGCGGTACAATACAACATCGTGTTGCGGTTCGTATTAACGAGCACCAAAACATTCACCTGTCACCATTGCAATGAATTCGACATTTTCCGATGCGACATTAATTTCCACCAACATGGGACACTGCGTATAAACGCTTCGTTCCGAGCCACGTGCGGGAAAGTGAATCAATTGATAAACTGCGATGATTAAACCACGATTTTTTAACCCGATTCTCCTATATTTCATGGTAATCGACGAATAAATGCCAACTATTCAGCGTGCTGTGCGAGGACGGAATTTATGGAGTAATATGTACAGAATTATCATCGCGTCGTCATTGTGACTATTATTCGAAATTCATTTCTGTGTTTATGAATTTTGATCATTCTGGATATCAAAAAAAATTTTTATTATAACTTAGACGACTTTTAGATTGTTAAATATAAAGGGGTGGATTTCTAAACATAGAAAGTATAGCATAATTCGATAATATAAAAGTATCACGAAATGACACTAATGACACATGAATTTAAAGCTTAAAGTTTGAAGAAAAGACCTGTGTAAACGTTTAGTGGATATTTATAGTCTACTTTTACAATTAATTTTGCATTCAAATTTCAGAAGAAATTGCATTCTTCCAATTAGACTGAAGCATCAAACCATTATCGTAGAATTGTAAATTTGAATTGTAACTTGAAAACAACATCGAGTTTGATAAAACAAAAAAAAAAACAAAAAAACACATTGAGTTTGCATCAAGGAGCTGAAAATTTCTTTCCCAATGTAGTAAACGTTTCTGTGATTGCGTCTTTTGTCAGAATAATTTGATACTTTTGCACGGGTGTTACAGTAAAACAGTTTCTCTCTGCTAAATCGTAAGACTCGTTTGCATCTGCGTTACCTAAACCCGCTTAATAACATTTGGCCTCGAAAGTAATCTGGAAACGCTCGTCCAGTAAAAACTCATCTGCAGAATGGCATGAAATGCGAAACGACAACAGGAAAGCCATTTCCAGATATTTTTAAGAGAAATGTCAAGCTTCTCTGATGCTTTG